GAAGGAAGGAAGGAAGGAAGGAAGGAAGGAAGGAAGGAAGGAAGGAAGGAAGATTAGAGGGAGGGAGGGAGGGAGGGAGGCAAGGGGGAATGGAGGAAAGGAAGAAGAAAGGAAGGAAGGAAGAAAGAGAACTCTTCAGACCCAGGCAGCTTCCCTGGAGAATTCTACCAAGTGTTTAAAGAATTCACAACTCTTTATAATCTCCTCCAGAAATAAAAAAAGAGGGAACACTTCACAATTCATCTTATTTACTGAGCATAGCCTTGGTATCAGATAAAGATAATATTTTTTAAAAACCCTACAGATCAAAATCTCTCATAAATATAAATGCAAAAGTCACTAACAAAATAGTAGCAAACAGAATTCAGCAATATATATTTAAAATGATACACTATATCCAAGTGGAGTTTATCCCAAGCATGCAAGTCTAGTTCAACATTTGCACATCCAGGTAGTTCGCCATGTTAACAGACTAAAGAAGAAAAATCACGAAGTCACGCCAATTGATAAGGACAAAGCCCTTGACAAAATTGAACACCTCTTCATGTTTTTTTTTTTTTAACTTAGAAAAATAGAAATAGAGGGCAATTTCCTCAACTTCTAGCAAGTGCACTCCTGGACATTTGTTCCAGAGAAATGAAAAATCACATTCAGACAAAAATTAGTACACAAACATTAATAGCAGCTTTGTCTCTGATTAGCCAAAACCTACAAACAGCACAGATGTCCATCAATAAGGAAATAGTGAACTGTGGTCTACACTATGGCACACTACTTAACAGTACAAAGTAAAGAACTACTCAACATCCAACAACCTGGGTCGATCTCCAGAGAATTCTCCTGGAAAAAGCCGAACTGAAGAGGTTAGACACTGTACAGCTCTGTTCATGTGAAGTTCTTGAAATGACATGATTCCACAAACAGGGACAGACTTATGGTTGTCGGGGTTAAGGAGGGGATGGAGTGGAAAGAAAGAGAGTGGGGGTATGGGAGGGCGGTATGAGGGAGCCTTGTGTGGGTGGCATTCTGTGTCTGGACTTTATCAGTATCAACATAGGGATGTGATGTTGTACTCGTTTTGCAAGATGTGACCAAGAGGGAGCTGGGTCAAGAGCACATAGGATCCCTCTGGGTTCTTCCTTACATCCCCGTGGGAACCTACAACTATCTCAAAATTCAGAGGTCAATTTTCTTTTAAGTCACAGGACTGTCCTGAGTGAGGCCACTCTATACGAGGTGGCCTCATACCCAGCTGTGGCACAGAGCAGACGTCATAGGGACTATGGGGAATGAGGACGTAAGTGGCAGAGTTTTGGGGATGCATAGGGAGAGGACATGAAACCAGAGAGTACCAGGTCGCTCAGGACCACACAGTGGGCTGCTGGACATGGAAGCACTTGTGGACCATTCTTTGTCAACTGTCAACTTGAGAAGGTGAGGATGGATGGGACAATTCTCTTCCTCCTTACTAGAACTCCTGTGTGTGCATACTCAAGTGCCCAGGCACTGGCAGGGATGGTGATGGAAGGGATGCCAGCCCATCATTAGCCATCTGTGGTGCTGGGCTGGTCCTCACCTCTCAAAGCCTCCATCTTCATCAGTAAAATGGGAATACTAAGAGTACCACGGTGATGGTTGAGGAAGATGGGGTAGTTATGGTGCCTGGAGCCAAGAAGGGGAAAGAGCAGAAGGGTCGTGGGCATCTGACCTTATCCTCTGGGCTCTGAGACCACGACCTCCCTGACCCACCCCAGTGTTGCCGCCGCTCACCATCTTCCCAAATGGCTGACTCTTCTTTCCCTCCTGTGATGAACCGTTCCACTGGGACGTTCTACAAGGAAAAGTGGATGGATTAAGGTACAAAGGGCCTCCCAGCTCAGAGTGATGACATTCCAATGTCCACTGTGAAGGCGTCGATATGGTAGTCCGAAGTTTGAAAGTTCCAGTTCTAAGACAAACGCGTCCTGGAGAACATAACAGGCAGCACGGAGAGCATTATTGTATCGTGTATCTGAAAACTGCTAAGAGAAGAAATCTTAAACGTTCTCATCACAAGAAAAAAAATTATAACTACGTGCGGTGATGGGTGTTAACTAAGCTTATTGAGTGTGGTTGTTTTGTGATATAAATATTATCAAATCATTCTATGTACACCGTGGGACAAGTACAACATTATATGTCAATTCTTTCTCAAATAACTGGAGAAAAAATGAAGACTTCTCGCTTTTCATTGAGAGGCAACCCATCCCAATTTACAGATGCATCGTGTTTCCCCTCACTGGTCTGTGGGGGGCTTGGCTTGTTCTCACTGAGCCCCAACACCCAGCAGACCCCTGCCTCCTATGGGGCTCCCCAATATTTGCTGACTCAGCGATTTAAATGAGAGACACTTTACAGCACAGCTCAAATATAAATTATTGTTTGTGCTTATACTAACACACACCACATATTTTCTTTGACCTATGACTAATGACATTTACTCTATACATTTATACCGAAAAAAAAATTTTTTTTTTACTGAAAAGCACTTTGTCAGTGACTTACCCACCAGCTGAGATGTAAACACTTCCCGAGGAGCCCTTCTGCTACAAAACAGACCTTTCTGCAGGGAGATGTATTTATTCTGCCATTAATAAGGGGAAGAAACCCCTGCCCTGTAGGACAGAATTTCAGTTTTCATCACTGCAGACATGTGAAAACCCCCAAACCACAAGCAATGATTTCAGTTTCTGCTCTCGGCACCTCCAAGACAAATGGTTTTAAAATAGGCCTAATGCAATCATATGTGAAATAATAGGGCCGGTGTCACTGTTGCTGCTGCAAACAGGAAGCTCGTGAGGTTACTGGAGGTCAGTTGGCTCCCTTCAAGGTCACGGGCGTAAAATAGCACCCGCTATCTGTCTGTCCACAGAGAGGCCAAGTGTGAAATCTACTCATTTCCCACTCCTGGTCAGATGATAGATTTCACATTTGTGAACACTGTGGAATTTATTTACGTTTTTGTAACACAGGTTAAAAACAACTATGGTGAAGAGGAAAAAGCATCAGGGCCTCTAGGGTAATAGTTAAGGATAAACGGAGTATTTCCTCACGGAAGGGCTAGAATAACTTCAATCACACTGTCTCATGACAGCCCTGGCCAGTGATTGCTGCTGCAAAGTGGGGGGCAAAGTGAGCTGGGGGAGGGTCTGAGACCTCACGGCGTTAGGGGAGGTCAGCCATCACCCGACAACAGAAACTGATAGCCTCGGAGGCCATGGTAGGTTCCAAATTGTGCTCTGAACATTACAGCCACTAATTCATTTAATTCTCATCTCAACCCCATGAGCCCAACACTGTTCTTATCCACAATGGGGAAGTAAGGCACAGAGAGGTAACATAACCTGCCTGAGGTCACACAGCAAGACCGTATCCAATCTCAGATCCAAAACGGTCAAGTCTGGCTCCAGAGATCGCAAAACTTTTTCCCTGTGAGAAGGACTCTTTTTTTCTTCTTTAAAGCAAAGCACAAAAGTTGTAGCATAAGGCTTGGTGAATTTTACATATCTATACACTTGTATACTCACCACCCAGATCATGACGTAGAGCATTTCCATCTAGAATATCCCCACCATGGGAAACGTTCCTTGTGTCCGATCCCAATCCACCCCCATCTCTAAAGATAAGCACTCCCCTGGCTTCAATCGCCATAGATTAGTTTTGTTTATTCTTGACTGTCATAGGATGGGCGTACAGTATGTCCTGCTTCAAGTCTGGATTCTTCCGCTCAACAGTATGTTTCTGAAACTCATCCATGCTGTCGTGGGCACCCACAGTTCCTCCGTCTATCGTTGACTTTCCTTTCTGCTACTATGGATGGACACGTGAGATGTGCCCGGTTTTTACCCATCCTCAGTAAAGTGACTGTCTGTCTTCTTGCTCGGGTCTCCTGGTGGACCCAGACATCCATTCCCCTTGAGGACATCCCCAGCAGTGAAATCTCTGGGTTACGGGATAAGAATGTTTGACTTTAGTAACTACTACCAATCAGCTTTCCACATTTCTCCCAGTTCATACTCCCACCAGCAAGGAAACACCCCTGCTGCTTCATACCTTTGCCCCCTACGTGGAAATTTCAGGGTTCTTTTTTAATATGACCACCCTGATAGGTGTGCGATGATTGTACCACCAAGGTTTTAATTTGCTTTTCTGTCCTGACTAATGATGTGCCCATTCAATTTCCCCCTCCTTTTAAAATTGCACTGTTTTGCTTTTAGGATCGATCTGTAGGATTTCTTGATATGTTCTGATAGGCGTCCGTCTTCCCTCACATGGATACCCCACAAATGTGTTCCCCCAATCTGAGCTCGCCATTCAGTTTCTCAACGTTTTTTCATGATAGGAGTTCCTCGTTTTAAAAAAAATCCATTTATCACTATTTTCCTTTACGGTTATGGGTTGGGGCTGTCTTTGCACACTCGTCTTCTCTAAGAAATCTCTGCCTACCACAAGAATATGAAAATAGTTTCTTACATTTTCTTCTAGAAGCACCATTGTTTTGGTTTCCACATCTAAGTTTGTGATCCATCTTAAATTAATTTCTCTGTGAAAGGCAGAGGTCCAGGGGCACATTTCCATGGTCCCAGTGCCAACTTGCTAAAAACACCATCCTCTCTCCATCAAACTGGACCAGCGCTTTGATATAATCAAGTAGCCATGCATGGAGGAAGGTGCATTCCTGGATGTCTATTCTGCTCCATTGGTCTGTCTGTCTGTCCTTACACCAACACCACACCACCTCCGTTACCGCAATTTTCAAGTAAGTCCCAAAATACGACAGTGATCAAGACCCTTTGTATTTCCACATAAATTTTGGACTCAGCTTGTCAGTTATCATCGGAAAGGAGAAGAGAAGAAAGCAAATGCAGTAGAGTTTTGACGGGGGTTGCCCTGATCTACGGATCCCTTTGAGGAGAATGGACATCTTACGACACTGAGTGTCCTCACCCACGTCTGTGGATGACCTCTCCATCCACTTGTCACCCTGGGTTTCTCTCAGCGGTGCTATAAAGTTTCCAGTGCATAGTTCTTAAAAACCAAATAAATCTTTATTGTTAGCTTTCTTCTTTTTCGTATTTTCATGTTATTATAAATGGTATGTTCGAACTACACCGTCCACTTGCTTCTGGCTACAATGTAGAAGTAAAAATTGATTTTTCTATATGGAGGCTTCGTATGTTACAACTTTGCTAAAACCAATTATTTATTTCTTCCAATAATAATCTCCAATCTTCCTGCTGAAAGATCTTCTTTCTGCTGGCTTTGGGCTTAGTTCGCTCTGCTTTGTCTCGGTTCTCAAGATGGAAGATCAGGTTATTGATCTGGAGATCTCTTTTACTATTGGCACATACAGTTCTGAACTCCCCTCTGGGCACCGTTTCCGCTGCCCCTGCAAATTTTGGTATGTTGTATTTTTCATTTTCACTCATTTCATTTTCATTTTCACTCAGAGCAAAGCATATTCTAATTTCCCTTCCCTTCTTTGAAGTATTGTTTATTCAGGAGCATGTGGTTTAATTTCCACATATTAGTGAATTTCCCAAAATCACCTATGACTGATAATAGTTTATAAATTGATTTATTAGATAATTTTACTATGATGTGCCTAAGTTGGATTTTTAAAAAATTATTCATCCTAGCTGGATTTAGTTTCTTGAACCCATAGGTTACTACCTTTCATAAGATTTGGAAAATATTTAGTTATTATTTCTTCAAATACTCCTTCTCTCCCCTCTGCCCTCTTCCACTCTCTCCCCTCTTTTTCCAGGATGTCAGCTACACCTGTGTTGCTCTCGGTCACGTCCTCCCTACGTGTTTTATGCATTATTCTGTGTTCATAATTTTTTTTCTCTCTGTGATTCACTTTGGGTATTTTCTACTGATCTGTCCTCAAATTTATTTTCTTGGGTTCTGCTGTATCCTGTCTGCTGTTACAGCCATCTGAAATAATCTCATTTAAGATATTTATTTGTGCATCTAAAATGTCCATGTCATGATTTTTGTAGATTCTGACTCCCCTGTGAAATGCCTCCCTAATGCATTGATTTTTATCTCTCTTTTACTCTTTTTCACAGATTTATCATGGTTATTCTGAAGTCAGGCCCTGCTAATGCTTTCTCTGAGTCAGTCTCTGAAGTTTGACCTCTATACATGCAAGCCATTTCCACAGAGGAAATGATGCCTGACTTCTCACCTAGAGCTCGCAGCTGTTTGGGGTGGGTGCTCTTGCCGCACACCCAGGAACTGGTCTGGGGATGAATGTTGCAATCCTCCCTTAGTAATAACACCCAGGCAATGACCCAAGCTATGTTGTCACTGGAAATCAGGAGGCATCTGTCCCTGCCACCAACAACACCCCATTGTCTTGGCAACACCAGGTCTGCAAATAGAAATCACTTTCACCATTTTCTTTGACTTGGACCACCCATATGGAAGCTTGCTAGTTCCCCCATTTTAACCCACATTTGGAGTAAAATGTTCCAAAACCGAGTTTACAGGCAGAACCTTCTGGGAGAGGGGCTCTTCAAGGATATCAACACGTCCCTTCACCCCCAGAATGTGCATCAGCACTGCCAGGGGAGCTGGGAAAGAGGTCCAGGGCCATGCCTTGGAGCCGCTGCTGGGCCAATGGAGGCGGCCCAGGCTGAGGGCTAGGTGCCCCCATCTCTTTTACAACGCTTGGCTGCCAACCCACCCACACTCCTGGGAGCTCTGCGCCCAGGGCTGCAAGTGGCTGATCCTCTTTTCTAAGTCGGCCCGCTGATCTGAGGCTGTGCAGCGGCCCGCACCCTCTGGGCCCATCCTGCGGGGTGGTGCGGTCCGAGGTCGCTGT